GGCCACACTGCACCGCACGTACACACCTCAGCAAAACAAAAACCAGTTCAAATATTTTTTGAACAAAAAAGGTAGAGAAAGAGTTGTAGAGAGTAAGCCTCGAATGAACGGCTGCTCATAGGACGAGTTGTCTAGACGAAAGTGAAAAGCGCGGTGGACGAGTTGCCGTTTGGCATCACCGTCGGACTGTGTGAGGTTGTCGGTGTGCGTGTGTTTGTGTTGGAAGACGTGTCAATTACATAGGGAACAGACTGGATTTTATGGCGGTTATTATCCGGCTGGAATGAGGGTTGTAATGACGGGGTTCGTCCCCTACGCAGCAGCAGCAGCAGCAGCACAAGAGCGCGATGTTGGAATGCATGGGCGCGCGAGAGATAAACGACGGTGGCTTGACGTCGTCCTTTGTGTTTTGTTAACAGCACAGATTCCACTGCGAGATTTCCCAGCCACCTCAAAACCACCACTTTTCGCACCTCAGACACAGGCTGACCTCATTTGCGCTCCGTGTCTCAGGAGCGAACGATTGAGTCGCGCATCTGAGGTGGCCGGCTGGAGCGAATCCTCAGGGTATCTGGGCAACAAGGTGGGTGGGAAATTCCCACAAAGGTAAGCCAAACCGATTTTGGTGACCAATATGAGAATCGCAGTATTCCAAGACTCACAGAGGTAATCCAATCTGATTTCGAACAAGCAAGCGAAGCCATTCAGAAGCTTGTCCTGTCCATGATTGTATTAGATGGAAACATATTCCGAAGGTTGCAGCGACCCTCGAAAATACAAAAGTGAGGATGGAACCAGGGGTTTCGTAGCCTTGAGAAGAGCCATGTAATCTTCCTGAACGGCTAACAGTGGTACTTGCCTAGCTTGCTGCTCTCTTAAGATTGTGGATCATGTCCAGAATTGCCAAGTATTGGATAGGCAAGATTGAGCCCAGTCATGAGTTTGGAGCCTTATAAGGAGGCAGTAATCGGCCTGAGAAAGGCACTACATCCTGTAAAGCACCTTTGTCCTGAAATGAACTGACCAGCGTTTTTTAGCCCGCAGTTCTCTCGATGGTCCTGCTCTTCATGGCCAAAAAAAGTTGGCTGCCCCTTCACAAGGTAAAGCTAACTAGACTTGATGGCCTTTGTTTGGGCCCTTTACTAGTTGTAGGTGATATTTGTGCCATAGGCAACCAAAGGAGTAAAGGATTCCGGCCAACGGTGGCTAATCCATCCACTTGCGCCATACAAACTGTGATTGTTAGCCATCATTTGAGAGCTT